GGGCGGGGGGAGGACAGGGAATCAAGGACTGGACCCTTGGTTGTGGGTCACAGCCGCGAGGCAGGGCGTGGGGTGAGGTTGGGGTCTAGGAGGCGGGGCCTTGTCCTTCCAATGCCGTCAGCAAAGTGGGTGGGGAAAGATTCTGGGGGATCGGTCTGGATGGTGAAGGCGGGGTCCGGGGTAGTGAGGGCCGGGCCTTGGGAGCATCTAGGACTGAGCTCGGGCTCTCACCTGCGGCTGGCTCGATCACGCGCCCCAGGCCGGGCCAGGCTTTGTAGGCAGCTGGCCCGGTAGCCCTCATAGAGAATATCGTGGGTCACCTCCTTCAGGTCCTGTAGGTGTGTCTGCACCAGCATCCGTCGCAGGTTCAGGAAATCGCAGTGATGTGGGTTCTCCACTGAGGGGCGGACCGGCGAGCGTCAGGGAGCTTCTTGGCCGGGTCAAGTCTGCCCGGAGTCCTGCCCCCACTCTAGGTGAGGGTCTGCAGTCCAAGGACCCCTCTTTTGATTCTTAAGATCCCCGGGACCGGAGATCGTCCCAACTTCATATGTTGGGTGCTGTTAACTCAGCGGCGTTCTGGGCTCCCTGTTGGCCTCAGAACGCGTGCCCCACCTTACTCACCCTCCACAGTACCCCAGGAGTAGCGGCGTCCCCTCACTGGACGGGTCCCACCGTCCCTCACTACCTCGCAGGAACCGACGACTGCGAAAGGGATGCTTTCCTGGAGGGCAGAAGTCAGGGAATCACCGTTGGCCCCTCCTCGCCAGAAACCTCTTTGTCAGCTTCCACCAACACCTCCTCCTCCCCTGCTTCTCTGCCCCTTCCTCCTTTTGCCTCTGCACCTTCATCTCTGCATCCTGCCTCTTGAAGTCTTCGTCCTCATCAGAGTCACAATCGGGAAACTGGTAGATGTTGATCTCCTCCTCCTTCAACTGGTCCCGGATCTGGGAGCAGACACAGAGAGAAACACAGAGGCTGTGAGCAGCAGACATTGCCTGGTGGGAGACAGTGAGATACAGGTCCCAGGTGGTCAGAGACAGAGAGAAAGACATGAAAGACAGAGATGGTGAGAGGTGGACATATAGGATACCCCAAACCAAAATCTCAAAGGGGTGCCTGGCTGGCTCAGTCCGTGGAGCATGTGACTCTTGATCTCGGGGATTGTGAGTTTCAGCCCCATGTAGAGATTACTTAAGTCATTGGAGTGGGGGTCATTATCCTGGGGCTGGAGGGCTATCAAGAGTGATCATATCTTTGCTGCCACTCTCAGGCCTTAGCAAAGCATCCAGCCCAGGGGTTCCATTCTGAGCCTCCAGAGACACAGCTCCTTCAGTCAGCTTACTCCCCATCTTCCTCAGGAATTTTCTCCCACAGACTAGCCTGGCACATTATGCTTCCAAAAGGCTAGCCCAAGATCAACGAAGTCAAAGCTGAGTTCAGGTTTGATGGCGACTTTTGGTTTCATGTAGGGCCAAAGGTCAGAGGTCACCAGACCTACCCTCTGCTTGAGGGCCTGGGTTTCCTTAGGCATCAGGGCATCTGCTTTGGCAATGACTGGGATGATGTTGACCTTTTCGTGCACTGCCCGGAGAAAGGCCACATCTAGGGGACGGAGCCTGCACCGAGGGATTTGGTCACGGTTCAGTCTTAAGCCACTGAGACCCTCCCCCACCCCTCCCCAAACACCCC